TTATTTATTAATGTTCTAAAAGCAATAAATAATTAAAGAAAATTCACTATATAAATTAAATTAATATTAATTAATACATAGATGAGACCATCCAAGGAGTTAAATCTTTAAAGATTGCTAGAGAGAAGAAAAGACAAAAAGCAAACAAAATTGAAATCGGTATGAAACATAATTAACATCAAAGAAATACAATATATGGCAAAAGTGGGAAGCGAATATCTATTGATTCAACAATTAGAATTTAAAAATTCTTGTGCTTTAAAAGTACAAAATCTTTAAATTCTGATTGTTGAATCATAGATATTCGCTTCTTACTTTTGCCATAATAATTACATAATTATTATATAAAAATTTGATTTTTTTTTATAATATGTATATAGAAAGTGAGATCAAATCTTCTAGCAATGAAAGTGATTAGAATAATGAAGGATTTGGGCTTGAATTAAATAATGCCTATGATATAATGGTTGATGCTGCTTCTAAACAAAACGCATTTAAAGCATTAAAGAATAAATTTTATCATGAAAACGCTAAATCTACCATGCGAAATAAAAGGTGAAGCTGGAAATTAGCAGCACTTGGCTTTCAAAAAATCACTAATTATTTTAGTTTAAACAGTAATGATAATGATAGTAATCGTAATAATAATGATAGTAATCATAATTATAGTTATGACAGTAGTGATGATGATACAGGTACTATAAATATACTATATAATAGTATTGTACTATATAGTTATAATTGGGTCATTTGGTCTTATTTTTTTTAAAAAAATAAGACCAAAAAACCTGATTATACTATAACTCAAAAATCTATTTATATAGAGTTATTATTGGGTCTTTTGGCCTTATTTTTTTAAAAAAAAATAATACAAAAAGATCCAATTATAGTTTTTTTAACTTGTATTTTTTTAAACTTATTGCTAAATATATTTTTAAACTCTATTAATATTTATCTGAAGAGGACAATTTCAAATACTCAATATCTAAGTTGAAGCAAAAAATTAAAAAAGATACTCAAGATATTAGGCTTCAATATGTTGCGCAATATCTTGGCTTGTTAAGTCTGGTTTTACCAAACAAGAGGTGAGTAACATTATTTCAACCTCACTTAATCATAGTCGATAGATGGCATATTTGATACAATCTTGGGGCAAACAATACTTAAAGTGTGGCTTTATTATAACATCAAAGAGAAGAAAGCATCAAAAACTCATTCACTTTTGTATGATAAGGATATTCAAAATAAAATGATTCAATTTTTAAATTCAAATAAATTCTAAATGAATATTTCTTAAATCTGCAATTATATTACTGGTGAAATCTTTCCAAGTGCCAGGATTGAAGCTAAAATAACTATAAGTAAGAGGACAGTACAAAGATGGTTAGGCAAGTTAGGGTGGAAATATCAATGTTATCAAAAGGGATTGTAGATTGATGAATATGAAAGAGCAAACGTTGTAGAATATAGACATATATTTTTAGAACATATGAAACAATTTGAACTATTAATGTCAAGTTGGTCAGATGATTTAACCCAACAAATTAATCCAGTTTTATCTATAAATGAAAAGTTACATATATTAGTAACACATAATAAACAGTATTTTATGCGAATGATAATCAAAAAACATTTTGGAGACCTAGTGGTGAACAACCATTATATCCCAAATCATTTGGAGGTAGCTTAATGGTCAGTGAGTTCTTTTATAATACGATTGGTCAGCTTTGATTAGATGATATTCATAAAGAACTTAATAGTCAACTTCTATCTAAAAAACAAATTCCTAGTGAGGCTTGCTATATAATCTGCCCTGGTGCTTATTGTGATGGTTATTGGACCAGAAAAGATGTTGCAAATCAATTAAAAAATAAGGCAATTCCTATATTTGAAGCTATACATCCTGGTTGTATTGCTGTTTTTGCTTTTGATAATAGCAATAATCATAGAGCATTTGCTAAGGATGCTTTAGTAGTATCAAAGATGAACTTTAAACTAGAAGGCAATCAATCTAAAATAAAAACAACTTATATGCGAAATGGGGAATTGCAAGAAATAGTATTTTCTGATAGTACGCCAAAAGGAATGCGTAAGGTTCTTGAAGAAAGAGGTTTAGATTATCCTGGTTTAAAAAAAATTTGCGAAAATTGTAAAAAAGGACTTTTTTAAGAAAATAATTGCTGCACTACACAAATCTTAAATTTAGAGTCTGATTTTATGAATCAAAAATCACTTCTAGAAGAAATAGTCAAAAAAGCTGAGCACAAAATAATTTTCTATCCAAAATTCCATTGCGAATTAAATTATATTGAAAATTATTAGAGTGCAACTAAGAAATACATACGGGCAAATTGCAATTATAGCTTTAATGCATTAAAAAATACTGTTTCAGCAGCACTTGAATCTGTTTCTTTAATTTGAATACAAAGATATGCAAGAAGTTCTTTATATTATATGAGTGCATATGGGCTGTCAAAAGTAGAAACCAAGGAATTTGACAATTTTTTGAAAATTAATCTGTTTGATTGATCAGGTGTAAAATTTAAAGCCCAATCTTTTTTGCTTAATAATGAAAGTCTGATCATTTAATAAATTTTTGCGATACATTGGTTAAAAGCTTTTGATGCCATAATCTAAAAATAGATTTACCGGTGCAAATGTTAGTATGATAGTGATCTACAGATCTGATAATCCTGTTTAAACAGGTTTGTTAATATTGAATAAACTATTTTAGATTGTTTTGATTTTGTGTAACAAAATAGTTTTTGCTGATTTTCTCAAAACCTGTGATCAGCCAAATTCCCTGGTTTCTACTTTTGACGCCCCATATATAGTAAGTTGATCTAAATAGAGAATGTGATGTTATCAAAGTTGTTTTTTAAAAGAACTGTAGTTAGGATTTGATGAAAGTATTGACTTCAAAGATATAGTACCTTCTTGTGAAGTATTTAGAATATCATAAATTAGATTGTAGGTAATTGAAATATTGAGATGCTTGAATAGCATAATAATTTTATGATTAGTAGTATATTTGTTAGGACTGTCAATAATAGGGTTGGGGTGTATCAAAATATTTTTAGATGACCAAAGTTTGTTTTGAAGTTGTTGAAGACAGATTCAAGAAGTGATGCCCAGAAGATCTGAGTTATTAATCTGCTTAATGTAGTTAGTGATATGATATTGAAGTTGAATATCTCAAATATTACAAATGTTATAAAATTGTGGATATAGAAGAGTATTTGTAGAAATAGTTTGATTTAATTTAGCTTTGTATTTAATGAGCTTGATATGGTGAGAGAGTATCTTTTTGCAGATATGTTGGCTAAGAACAAGGTTATGAAGTTGGTATTCAATAGTAGGTATAATTACTGTATTGATAATATACCAAGTATGAGTATCAGTAATATGTTTAGTATCTGCGATTTGGATAAGATGTAGTGATTCCTCAATGATAAGTTGTGTTTGTTTTGTAATTTGTTGTCTAGAGTAAACTAATATCCAAGAAACTTGAAGGATATATGAGGTGAGTGCAAAGATAATGAATGTGAGTTGTAGATAATAGAGTTGTAATAAGGAGGAGAATTATTCATGCAGAGAATAGATTTAGAGAGATTGACTTGTATATTGGCCATATCATAAAATAATTAGCCAACAGAAAGGATCTAAGAAAGTTCATGTTGAGAAGAGGGAAGCCAAAGAATATCATCCATATAGGCTAATACAAAACACTTGGCTTTAAATTTTTTAAAAGATTTGTTTTTAAGACTAGTAATTCAGGATGTTTGCATATTGTATCTAGTGAAATGTGAGTAAACATATGTTATTAGTGGGTCATAATATATTCTCCACAGAAGTGGAGTAATAGTTTCTCCTTGATCAATATCACTTTGAATAGAGTATGAAGGAGTTAGCTCCAGATTAGTTATAACTTGGTTGTGGTGATCTGGAAAGAATTAATTGTCTGGAGCGTAGTAACAGACACTCAATTTCTACGCATTAAGTGATACAAAAGTTACATTTTTAATGCATTTTGACCATCAAACATTCCTTTTGATGCATTAACATAATTAATATATTTAATATATCAATAACATAACTTAAAAATTTTTTGTCTGTCCTGTTGCATAACACATGATTACAAAACTATTTTGAAAACAACAATTGATTACCAGTATAGTCAGAAATATTACCAAATATAGTAATACTCCAGACTTATATTGGTTTCCAATTCCTAGTAATAGTCTTGATAATGGTAGTTAGTAAAGCAAGTCGAACTAGTGAATATTGAAGTAAGGAAAAATTAACAGAATCATAGACCTTGCTCATATCTTAAGACAAAAGCTATATATCCTTATGATTACAAGAAGCGTCCTTAATAAGATTGTTAAAAATATGTATAGGAGTAGCAGTGGAGTTTCTAGGTAAGGCAAAATAATTAAAAGGTGATAAGATAGAATATTGTTAAAATATTGAATTGAATCTGTTAGTAATAATTTTAGTATAAACCTTTCGAATATGTTCAATAAGACTAATTAGTTGAGTAAGATTAAGGTTGCCATCAAAAGTATTGTGTTTAGAAATAGGATAGATTCTGCTATTTTTTCATTGTTTTGAAATTTGGCTTTGAGTTAAGCAAAGATTAAAGAGAACAGTAAGAGCTTGGAAACATGTAGAGCTAGCATGTTTGATCATTTTATAACTGATGTCTGTAGGTCTACAGGCTTTACCATTTAGGAGCTTGAAGATAGTTGAGGTTATTTCTTCTATTGTAATTGGTGAGGTAAGTAAACAATACCAATTAGAGTTGATATGAGCTTGTGATAGATATTCTTGTTGCCAAAAGCTATCAAAAAGTGTTTGATTGATGGGTTTGTAAATAGTCCAGTTGTAGAAATGGTTTTGGATATATTATTTGATAAGAGAAGGTTCAGTGATTAGTTGGTTTGGAAGTATAATGTTTGAGAAGTATATAGGTGCTTGGTAGCAATTGAGAATACTATTGATAGCTTGTGTTGGTTTGCGAACAAGAGTTTCATATCTTTTTTCTGAGGCTTGTTGAATTTGTTGGCGAAGTAGAAGAGAGTTTTTAGCATGTCGTGCCTGGTATAGTTGATGCTATATGTCTTAAGTATGTTTAAACTATTCAAAAATTTAGATAAGATCTAGACTTAAAAGGGATTGGAGATTGCATTGAGATCGTGAATTAATGTTTTGAATTTGTGAATTAATAGTAGAGATATTAGAAGTTGTATTAGTGTTTTTGAGATTTTTAATTAGAGAATCTAGTTTTTTAAGGGACAGATGAAGTTGTGTACTATGAGGTGTAAATTTGTGATTATAACTACACTTGTGGCTTGTTTTGTTTAGGATAGTTGATATAGCAGAATATATAAAAGAGTGTTCTATCTTGTGCCATATAGTATCAATACTTTTAGAGGTTTTAAGTGTCAAAGGTATTCGATGTTGATTGAGTTTGGTTGTAAGTAGATCAGAAAATTCAGACTAGTTTTCTGAAGTCATGGCATTGTAGTTGAATATATAGCAACTAATACTAGTATG